CCGGCGGAGCTTGGACTGCTGTGTCCACGTGACACGCCGCAGCCCCCGCCCCTGGGTGGCTGAGGAGTAAAGGGAGGGCCAGGGCGTCCCCAGAGCCAGCGGGGAAACCAGGGGAAACGAGGTGGCTCCACTGCCCCAACACCTGGAGGCCCCGGGCACCTGGGCCAAAGTGTGTGGTGTGAATGCACAAGGCAGACAGACACACGGCCCACTCCAGTCTCCCCAAAACCCTAGACGCGGAGTGACGTATAGAAAAGTCTTCGCAGCCCTGGAAACGGTGGCCATGTGGACGATGGACCCTCCCCCCCGCCCCGAGGTCACTCAGCAGAGGGCAGCTCACCGCCGACTCCCCGGAGGGCACTTGCTGCTTGTTGAAGATGAGCAGCTCTTTTAAGTCATTTGTCGAACACGCTTTCTTTAGCTCATCCTTGATGTTCCAGATCAGCTCGTTCTGGGCCTGCGGACGAAAGCCAGGCGGCTGAGCGACCGGCTCCGTCCAGAGACCCAACCGGGGGCCCCCACCCTGCTCGGTCTCGGCGGCGTCCTGGCGCATCAGCAGAGCCGCGCCTCCAAGCTGGCGTCAGCGACAGGGAAGTGCCCCGGCCCCGCTCCGAGAATCCCGCTTCTACCCGGAGCCGTCCCTGGAACCAGCCCCACCGTGGACCGACTCCCTTGGGGAAGAGCCGGGGCGCGGCAGGCTCACCCCCCGCCCCGACACTCACGCCTCAGGGACGACGGGGGTGGGTGTTCTCGCACCCGGAGGTGAGTAGGGACGAGCACCCCTGCTCACCTTGATGGCGAGCGGATCGCACAGAACAGACCTACGCTCCGGAAATGGAGTTTTCAGTCTCAGGGGCCGTATTCACGCAGTGCCTACGCTCCACATCTCGCTTATCCTCACTACCACCCTGCCCAGGATGGCACCAGCCTCCCTACACCAGGGCACTCGGGGCGAGCCTCCTCCCTGCTAGGGCCACCGGCAAACTGTTCACCTCTTGGCCGCAGACCGCACCCCTGCAAACCAGAGGTGAAAATGCCGGCCCCTCCCGCCCCATGGGGACGCTCTCTGCACCAAGTGAGAACTTTAACTGTCTTTTTTTTCCCCCTTTTAAGATTTTAAGCAATCTCTCCATCCAACGCGGGGCTCAAACTCATGACCCCGAGATCACATGCTCTCCCGAGCCAGCCAGGAGCCCCTCCAAGCGAGGAAGGTTTTAATTCAACCAACAAAGTGTTCCCACACACATCAGCGCCTGCTCTCAGCTTTCCCGTCCCTGCCCTCCCTGCGCCACCAGAACGGTGTCTCCAGCCACGGACTGAGGGCATGAGCCTCATCAGAGGAAGCAGGAACTGCATCACCTCCTTGGCCCAGGACGCGGAGGCTGGGGCTGCTGGGGAACATTCGGATTTCCCTCTGACTGCACTCAAGAAAACGCCAAACCCACTGGGGGCAAATGCAAAATAAAACCAACTCTACCGCGTCCGGATGCACGCACGACAGACATCGTTTCACTGATCGACAATCGCACCGAACCGGTGATTTTCATCAAGCGGCTGGAACCAGATCAGACGCTGCTTCTAATCTTTCTCGCACCGGCAGGACGGAAAAACGCTCAGAGCAGAGCTGAGCGGACAGCTCATGGAAATCACGTTCCCACAACGGGACTGACAGTTCTCCCTGGTTTTCCCGAACACCCAGCATTTTCCCATCAATAATTTTTACTCTGATTCAACACACGCGTAATCAACACAGAGCTAAATCTGCCAACGGCTACGGAGTTAACAGGTGGTTCCTGCCCCTTTCACGGCACGCCTTCTACCCCTCTTGTAAACAAGAGGTGTTCATTCAAGAAACAGGGAGCGAGTGTCTCTTCCAGCCACTTGTCCGGGCCGGGCACTCGACCTGCAACGTTCGCCAGCGGCCCCCGGGTCCAGTGCGCACAGCGCTGTGTCCCGCGCGGGGAGGGAAGAGACCCCGGGGGGAAGCCATGCTATTAACAACCGTGAGGGGTGGCGGAATCCTGGAGGTCTCGTGAAGCGGGACGCACATATCCCTGGAACGAGGGAAGAGAACGGAGAATGAGGAGTGCGGGCGCCCGGCTCGGAGCTCACCTTGAGGGCCTTCTCGAGCTTACTATCTTTGTCCTTTTCCTTTTTAGATTTCTTCTTGGCCACTTCATCCATCCCATCCACCTCGTCGCCTTTCCTCTTTCTGAAAGAGACACGGGACGAAAGAGAGCCATCAGAGCCCTGGAACCCAGTGACTCGGGGGACGCAAGACCTCCACGTCCCTATAACGCCACGTGCCGGCCGCGATCACAGCACAGCTCACTCACTGCCCTCGGGCGCTCGCAGGAGGCCCAGAGGGCACTGGCAACTGGCCTCATGCACCTTACGGGACCTCTGCTGCTGCAGGTACCCCAGGGCCTGGGAACAGCTGGTAAAGGACCCAGGGCTCAGGCCCCATCTGATGTCGAACACCCATGTATCTCTAGGCACAAACGAAGCAGCCTGGCAAGTTCTGGCAGGGACCGATGGGCCAGATGGCCAAGGGGCTGAGCCTTAGGGCTGCTCCTAAGGCCATCAGGTTGTTCTCAGAGGTGGGACTGCACTGCCATTCAAACCCCAAATGGGGTCTCGGCACTGCTAACTGGTCCATTGTGGCTGGTCACCAGTCACCGGACTTGAAGGAGGCACGGGGGGTCGCCATCAGCCCCCTAAAACAGAGCAGTCCCAGAGGCTAAGTTTCAGCTGTCACAGACCTGAGTTCAAAGCCTTGCATTTTCTGTCATCCACGAGGCAGGGGATACCACCCACTCCCGGGGCTGTGCTGATGGCTACACGACCCCCCCC